AATTGAAATGAGTGAGCAGGAGGCCTCAGCTCGACATCTGCACACATTTTTGTTAATTTGAGTATGTGAAAGACAACACTGGTTTAGTAATAGACTCCAATTCGGAATATTAATTATAAACTGTCTAGCTATGATTGGAATTGAAAACATGGATTAGAAAGGATATTGTGCATTTGCTGCTTAGTATAAAGCGAAGCTAAAAGAACTGGGCATTTAGAGAAACCAGAGCATTTCATTTGCGCATTTGTGGTAAGCGAAGTTAAGGCAGCTTACCAGCATCTGGGACCCAGCAGGATCGCAGTAGGCTCCATGGCTGGGATGGTGCGAGTGTTAGTAAAAGGTGAAAAAGCGAACACATGCGCAATAAGCAAGCATAACCCACCGACCGAGATTCAAAAGCGCCTGTGGAGCAAATTGTGCTTGTGCTGTTGGCGAGTTCATTTCAGAGAGGGACGGAGCCGTCGCCACAAAGTCTTTGAGCACCGAGTGTTCCACAGAAAGCCCGTAAGAATAACGGTCCTAAAAGTTCGCTGGACAAGAAGACATTTTTGAAACAAGCGAACGCGTCAAATCATTGACAATCTGATAATAGCAAAGTGAGTGATAATATATGCAAACTTCTTAAAACTAAAGATGTAAATTTACCTTGACTACCTCGTATGCATCCATTATTATAGCAATAAAGAGCGATAAAACCACGTAGATGAACATTGAGACAAAACAGTATATGTACACAGTACCGAAAACCTGAACAATGTAGATGAAATCAACTCCAAGAAACCAGTGTAGAAAAGATCAACTCCAAACAACGAAATTTTATCTAGAACAAATCCAAGATGGATTTCGATATGCTTACCTTGATTGTAGTGTTGGAATCATTAATAGTATAAAACGTCGCAAACATGTCATCTCCATTCATTAAGGAAAAAAGAGCTTCAGATGACTCCCCCAAGGTCCGAAACTAAGTACAGAATAGTACAATTTGATTCAAATACTTGGTATTTCCCTAAATTTACCTTCATACTGTACGGTCCGATGATGACCCAACCAGCAATAAGGAACCCAACATACAAGACTATAGCACACGACATGAATCGCAGCATATTTGGGATCGACTTCTTCATGGTGAGAATGAGAATCTGTAAACTGTGCCTTTAAGTTGCACCTTTCCAGCTATTTCGCGTTGATCCTTGGAGATTGAAAGTCTTTAACCATGAGCTAGTGATCGAGGATTACGGACTTAAGCAACAAACGACACATCAAAATCTTAGATGTAAATGAATATACAGAGACAAAAACTTCAGAAAAAAAAATTTGGAGTGAGATGTAAAAAGGACACACATTATATTGGTTGAAGAAGCCGAAGTACCGTAAAACGCCAACATATACAAGTAGAGCTCCCATTCCAAGCAATATACCGGATAGAGTAAAGACAGAATTGTCAAAAT